GAGGGTAGATGGGGGGTGGGAGGGAGGGGAGGGTGGGTGATGGGTATTGAGGAGGGCACCTGTTGGGATGAGCACTGGGTGTTGTATGGAAACCAATTTGACAATAAATTTCATATATTGAAAAAAAAATAAAATAAAATGAATATCTACGAGCCTCACTGATATAAATATTCGAGTGAACTGGGGAAATTGACAAATCTCTCTTTTTAAAAGAAGTTTATTTTTATTTATTCTGAGACAGAGATAGCAAGTGGGGGAGAAGCAGGGAGAGAGAGGGAGACAGAATCCCAAGCAGGCTCTGTGCTGTCAGCGCAGAGCCCGAAGCGGGGCTTGATCTCAGGGACCGTGAGATCATGACTTGAGCCGAAATCAAGAGCCGGACGCTTACCTGGCTGAGCCACCCATCTTCTCGGAGACAACTCTCTTTTATAGAAGAATTCCAAGTAATTGATGTGGGTATTCTACTCTAAAGAAGGTGGGGCTCAACTCCCCATTCCTTATATACAGGCTGCGAATAATGATTTCCTTCCAAAGAGTACTTACTGAGTGGAAAGGGGAAAAAAGAGTAACCTTACAGTGGAGAAACATGACAAACATTACTTAAGTCAGGTGATCAAGGTTAGCCTCAATTCTGATAAGTCATGTACCCTTGATATGATGTGATGGCAATGGCATTTAATCTCTGTGGTCTTCCTCCTCCAGTCTAACCATGAGCAAAACATGTGGTCTTCCTCCTCCAGTCTAACCATGAGCAAAACATCGGACAAAACCACGGTGGGGGCGGTGGTGGGGGGGGGCGCTTTACGAAACACCTGACTAGTACCCATCAAAATCGCCAAGGTCCTCGAAAACAAGAGAAGTCGGCAAAATGATCATAGCCTGATGACCAAATGCCATGTGGCCTGCTAGATGGGATCCTGGAACCAAAAACAGGCAATTAGGTAAAAATTTAGGAAATCTAAATAAAATGTACCATACTAATGTAATATGTTGATAGCAGGGGAAACTGAGTTAGGGGGTATATGGGCACTTTCAGTGCAACCTGCAATGTGTCTGTAAAACTATTCTAAAATGAGAAGTTCATTTATTCTTATGTTTTGTTTTTTTTTAAGATTTTATTTTTAAGAAATCTCTATACCCAGCCTGGGCCCGAACTCACAACCCCGAGATCAAGAGTTGCACGCTTCACCAACTGAGGCAGCAAGGCGCTGCTTTGCACATATTTAAAATTAAAAAAAAAAAAAAATGCTAGAAGAATTATCTCGTGAAGCTTGGTCTTTAGTGCATATTACCCAACTATCGAATAAAGATACACCATAGCCCCAAAGGTGGAAAACAATATATTAATTTATTTCCAAGACAACAACATGGAACATCATGAAAAACAAGGATGGGTTTAGAAGTTTCAGCCATCCCTGGAGGCTAGTGGAAACCCACTTGCCCAAACACTACAATCTTCCAATATTAAGGTTTTTAAGACACAGAGATGGACCAACAACAGACATGTAAACATCTTCTATTCCCAAAGGCTTCTCGTTCTAGAGGAGAACGATCCAGTGTAAAACGTGTCTTCTTCTCAGGTGGGGGTCATTTAACGAAGTTGAAAGAAAAGATGATTTTTAGACTCATTAGCTCCAGACGGGTTCCTTATGCTTCAACCCTTTACCACTTTGCACAGTTCCGTCTTTTTCGGTAGCTGGACAAAAATAAGGCTTTACTTCAAAGGCATTCCCTTAAGTACAACAAACATTCAACAGACACAGTGAGAGAAAAAAGGGCAAAACCGTATTAAGGGTATCATTAGCTGTAGTTAACTTTTTTTGGTGAGAATAAATAAATATTAAGGAACTCAATGGATGTAGGAATACAAAAGTAGACTTCACATTTTTCCGACGTGACAGGACATTTTCTCATATTAACACTGACACTGCTCTTAAAACCTACCCTCTGGTATACTAACTATGGCTTTATCTCACCTTCTCAGGAAACTGAACTAAGGAGACCAGTAAGAACATCCCAATCCTCAGAGAACTTGTTTCCTAATGCTTATCAACAACCTCTCTAAGCCTTGCTTAATTTATCTGCAAAATGGGGGTAATCGTGTGAGCCTCCCAAGAGTGTTTGTAAGGTTTTAACGCAATGAGCCCGCTAACAGGCCTCAGCTTCGGTCTATTCCTTCCCTTCTTTCTTTGGAATGGTCTCTGATTTAGACCCTCATTTCTGACTACTCAGATCCCTGGCCGGACAGCCCAAACTACGACCCTGGATGTGAATGCGTTAAAATACAAGCAGTCTGTGAGATTCTCTAGAGCAGCCTTCCCCACGTGGATGCTATTATCAAGAATTTCAGACGCAAGTAGCTTCTGTCTTACTTTTCTCCTTGTCTCAAGCACATATCTGGTGTATAACAGACGCTCAAGAAATATTTACTGTGTGCTGAGGGAACGAATTGGGTAAGAGAACGGGACAAGGGATAAGCGACAAAGCAGCTCACTCACAGCTGAAAGCTCTTAAAAATCTAGGCACTCTTATCAGCACCAAGCATTGTAAAGCTACTCAGAAAATACTCTGGAGTCCTTGAAGTGTCGCGGCATAGAGTCTGGACTCCATTTTGCAGGTAAGATCACTTTGGTGGGGGGTGGAGGGTGGTGATCCAAGAGGCGAGTGATTCATTCCTGAGGGTTCGAGACTTGGGATGAGAGCCATGCAACAGCACTTCAGTTCTAGAAACATCTTCATTCGGTGGGAACTTTTTAGCATTCGACATGGAAAACAATGGAAGAGGGACGAGAGTACATTCTGACCCACAAGAAAGGTCCCGTTTCCCTGGGGTCCCTTTGCCGAAGCAGCCGCCAGTGACTGCTGTCTGATAGCATATCCCGCCTCTCGTTAACGACTTTACATTCTGTACAGACCTTCAGACACGGTAAGCTCACCGTGCTCGTGTTGAAACTCAGGAAACACGATCTAGTTCTCCATTCTAGCAGCTCAGGTTTTAAAGGAGATTGCTGAGGTGCCCAGGAAGCTGTTTCTATGCCCGGGGGGCCGCTGAGCAAAGAGGAGGGGTACCCATGAACGCGTGGCTACGGGTCTGGCATAGGAGATTCCTTCTCCGGAGAAACACAGTTCCTATTTTCCTAAACAGTATTATCTATAGCTCTCCTTTGCGTGAGAGCATCTCGCTCTGATGAGTATCTGGTGCAAAGGTCTGACGCCAGTTCCACTGGCCACGGATCTGATCACGAGCCCGACGTGGAACAACCGTCAAGAGAAGGCCAGGATGCCGAACGTGCCAGCATCGTCCCAGTGCTCCTGATTGCACAGTTCCCAGTGCCCGGCGGGTGTTGTAACACACAATAACCCGGCCAGGTCCTGCAGCCGTGACCTCGCGGCTACAACCGTTACCGTAAGCGGGGCCGGGTTCTCTCACGAAGAAAAGGCCGCGACTGCCCTCCGATCACGGGTTAGAGTGGCTCAGAAGTACCAGCTGGGTTGGATCACGGTTTCGCTCTGATTCAGGGTTCTTTCTCGAAGCCTCAGTTCCAGGCATTCCACAGTGAGGGGGTACGTAGTCAGCTCAAACTTGTTAGCAAAGAGGCTGGGCGAATTGATCAACCACTTCAAGTCCCCGTTTCCATAGATACAAATGCCGTGTACGTAGCGGCCTGCAGAGGAGAGAAGAAACCGTCAGAACATGTCTGGTCTGGAAAGGTGGGGGTGGTGAAGGGGCGCAGCGGGAGAGTGGGGCCTGTCTACTGAGTAGCTAACGCTGTGCCCGGTGCTCTGGGACTCCGTATGACACGGGGTCGTGTCGGCCCGGCCCACAAGGAAGTGAAACCCCTTCTGGAAAGCTAAGGGGGACACATCCGTGCTTGAACAACAGGAGGGTTCAATGATATGAGGCAAGAGCGGCCACAGGCATCGTGAGACGATTCATGTGTTCTGGCCTGAGGGTTATGGGTAGGAAGTTCCAGAAGCGGACGGGCGGGAGAGGTCTTGCTGGGAGGCACCGGTCAGACCTCTTCTTTGAGCCCGGGCTTAGTCTCTCCAAGTGCTTACGTTCGTCTCCTCTTAGAGGAGAATCAACCCCACTGATGTGACATGTCTCCACACGCCAGCTTGACTCCCCTCCCAATCCCCGCCACGTCTTTCCCGTGACACCCACACCACTCCTAGTTTTTCAGCGCCCTGGGCATTTCTCCCCCTTTCTCTCACAGCCCCCACCTCCGGTAGCAACTCTGGTAGCTGCACCTTCAAGATCGTCGCAGAATCTGATCGCTTCGCACCGCGTCCGCTACTCCCATCCCGGCCCGTGCCACCTCTATCTTCCCGCCAGAACTGTCACAGTAACGCCTGGGTTCTACTGTCCCCACCTCCGCCTGCTGGGATGTTCTCAGCCCCACGGCCACGGGGATCGTTCTGCTCGCAAGCACACCACGATGTCTCCTCATCTCATGTGCACGCACAGCCAAAATCCCAGCAATGGCATCGAAAGCTCCTGAGTCTGGCCTTTGACCTCCGGCCCCTTGCTCACCCGATTACAATGCTTCCCAACGCTACTCCGGCCGCAGTGGCCTCCTTGCTGGCCGCCCCCCAACCCCCCCACCGCACACCAGGCATGTTCCACCTGAGAATCCACATAGTTCTTCCTCCCCAGGCAGCCCCCTTCCGCCAGCTTCCGCCACACCTCCCGCAGACTCCCTCTCTCACCACCCCAGGTATCTGCCTCAAGGCCGAGTTCTCAGGGAGGCCTCCTCTGACCCCCTTCCGCCTTCCCCAATTCATTTTTCTCTCGGCTCTCGCTGCCAACGGATAGATTGGTATGTCAGGGCCACGAACGCAAATATTTGGCTTATTGTCTTTCTCCCTGGCCTGGGATGGAAGGTCCGAAGAGCTGGAACCGGAGGCCCTTTTGCTGTCCTCTCTGTCCCAACCTGCATCCGGGACAGTTCCTGGGAAGTATTAGGTGTTGAATTAATAGCTGTTGAATGAAAGGATGGAGACGAATGAGTGGAGAGTTAGTGGAAGGACAGAACTTGGCTGGGCGGGGGGGGGGGGGGTTGGCATCAGGGGCATGGATGGTGGCTTCATTTGGGGAAAATGTGCAGGGGGGTGGTTTTCTCTACAAGAGAGAATTTGGTTGGCAAGGGGGTTAGAAAAGGAATGGGAGGAAGTTGAACCCCTTTTCTAGAGGTTTCTTGGCGCGCACTGGAAAGACTACGGTTGACTGACTTAAACTCAAGGGCTGGGCCTTTTGTAATCCCATAAATAGGGAGAGTCTTTGAAGAGTTTTGAATGGAAGAATCAGAGGGTAAATTGGGCTTTAGCAGCATTAATTTTACAGAGCTTTGCAGGGTACAGTTAGAAATCCACCACGAGGCCGCAGTAATAACTTAATGTAAACCAGAGAGCCGGTTCCAAGTTCATGGCGTTGCCATGAGTGGGAAAGGAAGGGTATTTGAAACAGAACAGAGAGAGGCTGTCATTAATCATCATTCATTTCATACGGCTGGCAGGAAGCACAATAGAGAGGGGAAATGGATGGGGGACAGAAGTCAGAGTAGTGGACAATCGGAGGTAACTGGGGAGTGAGAACGGAATGCAGGTTAATAAGCACATCCACGCTTAAGAAAACAAAGTGGAGAGACCATTTCAGGGCGCGTGAACTAGAGGCTCACAGACAATGGGGTCTTCAGGCTACAGGCGATCATGACACTGAAGGAGAAGGAAAAGGGCCAGCACGAGGGCACCACTGGGACTCAAGGAAACAAGGGGATCCCTTAAGGGAAACCCGCACATAACCGAGACCCCGGATGGGGACCCTGGTTGTGGGGACGGGTGACTTTTCCTTCTCGGGACGGGAAGGAACAATGAGAAGCGTGTGTCCAAAATACCCTGAGATGGCGGAAAGGGATGGCGTGACAATCCGGTAAGGGGATTTGGGCCACGTGTTTTGAAAGTTCTTCCTCAGGTTGAAGCTGTTACCTTTTGGGGTCCGAAAGGCCGTTTGGGCACAGGATTGAGAGTTCACAGCAAGCAGGAAAGATGAAACGAAGTGCGTCGGGAAGGGCACCGGGACAGTTCTGGAACAGTCCCCAGCAATGCTCTGGTCAGGGAAACACAAATGGCCAAAAGCAGATGGTGGAAGTGATTCCATGTGCGAGTTGGCCTTGTAGGGTCAAATGGCAGGGGAGCCTGGTTTGTTCGTGAGAACAGCAGGGGACGGCTGATCCAGTATACAGGCCGGATAAGGAGTCCTCAGAAGGATGCTGGCAGAAGGTGGAAGCTGGGAGCGTTGAAACTCTGGCAATCCCAACTTTATTTTATTTTATTATTATTTTTCGTAACGTTTATTTATTTTTGAGACAGAGAGAAACAGAGCATGAACGGGGGAGGGGCAGAGAGAGAGGGAGACACAGAATCCGAAACAGGCTCCAGGCTCTGAGCTGCCAGCCCCCCGACGCGGGGCTCGAACTCACAGACCGGGAGATCACGACCTGAGCCCAAGCCGGCCGCTCAACCGACTGAGCCACCCAGGCTCCCCAATCCCAATTTTAAAAAAGCAGACACATGGGGGACTTAGGTGGTTCTGTGGGTTAAGCAATTGACTCTTGATTTCAGCTCAGGTCATGACCTCAAGGTTCGTGGGTTGAGCCCCGCGTCCGGCCCCACACTGCTTGGGATTCTCTCTCTCCCTCTCCCTCTGCTCTTTCCCCCTCCTCTCAAAATAAATACGTAAACTTATAATAATAATAATAATAATAAAGCAAATGCATTTCAAACAACAACACATTTTAGGTGTGGGATATAGCAATAAACAAACTGGTCAAAAATCCTAACCCTCTTGGGGCTTCACTTCTGTTCTGGGGAGAAAGACAGTAAAGATATAAAGTCTGTATATTTTCAGTGAAGAAAACCAGCCGAGTAACAAGAAATTGTAACCAGAGATGGGAGCTCCAAGTTCAAGACCGTAGAGTAGAGTAGTCTCTGTGATTCTAAGGGCCTATAAAGCAGGTGCGCATCCACGGGTTTGGAACAAATCCACCACTCGCGACCAAGGGGGAAAGGTCCGGATTGTACTCCAGACTCGCAGGCACTGTTCTGGGTGCTCCTCTGGGTTATGTCTTTTCTTTTCCCCATCTAGTGGTTTGGGGGACAAACTATTTTTAGGTTCGGAACCATATCAGGCTTTCAGATGTTCACGGCTAAGAGAAGAAAAATGAGACATTTGTCTCAGAGGCTTGGGCTACCCAAGCTGTGTACCCTCTGCAGGTTCCTGGCTTGGAGCTACTCTCATGGGCCCACCTGTCGTGTGATAAGTAAAGGTCCCTATAAAAATGGAAACCTGACTAGCTTGTACCTTGTCTATGGGGTAGGGCCTGGATACAGGTGAGGACAAGGAGAATGAGAGTAAGGTTCTAGGGAGGGGCAGGGCTTGGTGCTGACACACAGTACAGAAGCTTCCGTGGTAGAGGCCAGAGGCGCAAAGTAATGACGTCACAGGGGTCCCTGCGGTGGCGGCTGAAGTCTTCCAGTGTTACAGCTGGAGAGGAGATGGAGAAGCAGATCAGGTGACCACAGCAGTCCCACAGGGAGGATGACAGGGTTACAGAAGGACTGTGGAAAAGGCAAGACATCTCAAGTATTGGGACCTGGACTAATGGCGATGGTCTCTTTTCTGAAGAAGTCCCCCAGAGATCAAAGAGCAAAGCAACCTTCTCTCCACTCTCTTCCTGCTCCAAGGAGGGCAGGCTGTGATGAGAATGCAGGCAGGGGGCGGGAGATGTCCTGTGGGGAAAATGTTGGCTGATTAAGATGAAGATGTTGGAGAGCAGGGTGTATGGGATGTGAGGGTGTTGCCATCTTCAGCGGATGGGGACCTCAGGAAGACATGAGAAGGGGGTGCGGTGTAAATCTGAGAGCCTTTAAAGAGGAAAGCAAGTGAAAATGAGGTCACACAGGATGGGACCTGATTCTATATGGGTGGTGTCAGTATAAAAAGAGATTGGGACAGAGACGCACACAGAAAGAAGACCACGTGAGGACCCGGGAAGAAGGGGGTATCTCTAAGCCTCTCAGAAGAAACCAAATTAACAGACACCTTGATCTCGAACTTCGAGCCTGCAGAACTGGGAGCGAATAAGTTCCTGTTATTTAAGCCATCCGGTCATTCATCCTAGTGAATGAATACCATGCTGAGTAGGTACCAGACAGTGTGAATGGAACGTATGCCAGGGCTGATAAAAACCCTTCTTTAGAAAGTTCTATCGCAGGGGCACCTGGGTGCCTCAGTCGGTTAAGCGCCCGACTCTGCGTTTCGGCCCAGGTCGTGATCTCACGGTTCTCGGGTTGGAGCCCTGCGTTGGACTCTGTGCTGGCAGCGTGGAGCCTGCTTGGGTCTGTGGTGAGACCATGACGTCACTTCTCATCCTGACCACTTCCCCTCCTAACCACCACACTCCCAAAAGAAAGAGAAATAAATCATGTGAAGACAGCAGAAACCAGCAAGAAAATGCCATTATAAGTCGAGCCCACCTCTCAACCCCCTCAGGAATCATGAGCTGGAGCATGTCGGCGAGACCCCGAAGTCTCCTTTTCAAGGCCCATGTCTTAAAGCCTCTAGCTACTCCAGGAACTCGGATTGTTTTAAATACACAAGCAGTTCTGTCCGCGAGAACCCCTGTATTCCACAGCTACCTCCATGCCAACACCAACAAGCAGTGTGGCCTCAAAGAGTGAAGTGAGTGCCTCACCATGGCAGCCGCCGTGTTTATCTTCCATGTCGATCCACTTTATAGCCCTGAGGTTACCGGTCCACGATGCATTTGGCATGGAGCCCGGGACACCTGCAACATTGATAAGGGAGAAAAGCAGACATGAGAACCAAGACAGAAGGGTGTCGATCGCATCAGTGAAGCCTCCACATCATGTTCACTTTTTCACTACGTTATCTTTCGCGTTAGATTTTCCATCACTGGTGTAAGACCTCAGAAGCTCGTGGTGTGAGTAGCTGATGATTATGAGCTCTGCCTTGCTACCAGTAAAAATACATACGCACATACAGGTGGTTTTTCATAATGTGTGCCCAAGCCTGCAAAATAGAGGTTAAGAAATACCGTAGCAGGAAACCATAATGCAGGTGGACAAGTTGAGGAGTTTTGGGTCATCTCTCAATGGCCTTGAGCTGAATTCACTTTCAATCCTAATATTACAGCTATTTCGGACTTTCCATGTGACCTCGATCTTAAAATGAAAGCTCAGGAAACAGGCTACCCTAGGTGCTAAGCACTAATTAAGTGAACTTGCAGTATGAGGCATACAGAAGGGAAATATCTTGCTTACTACATATAAACTCAAACAAATCCCTTAACACACGATCCTTCTTTATTTGTTAAAGTGCTTCTTGAGCATTTGGTGTTGCCGAGCATTGTGTGAGGCCCTGGGAACAGAGAAAGAGGAGACAAGACGTGATTGCCGGTCACCCAAAGAAGATGAACAGTTGACCCCAAGCAGGAAGCTGTGAGCTTTGAGTTTTTCCTAGGAAGACTGGTGTGCCCTGAACTCCCCAACTTCTCTATTTCTTTCAGGTGTTCTTTTGGCCAGACGTTTAGTTGCCAACCCACTACCCAATTAGTTACCGGATTCACCTTTGAAAAGTAGGAAGCCTTGAAAAGAGGAGAGGACAGCTCTAGAGGTCGCCATCTTGCTAAGCAGGGCTTTTCCTCCTTGGCATTATTGACACTTTAGGCTAGATAATTCATTGTTGTAGGGCCTCTCCCGGGTACTGTAAGATAGCAGCATCCCTGGATTCCACCCACCAGATGCCAGTAGTACACGCCCCCAAGTTGTGACCATTAAAAACATCTTCCAGTGTTGCCAAATGTCCCTGGGGTCGGGGCTGGGGGGCAGAACTGCCCCATTTGAGAAACACTGGGCTAAACTATTTTAAATAACCCTCTCTATCTCAGTAACTTTTGCCTACTCCTATCGAATAGTTTTACCCCAAGGTTCCCATCATTGGAAAATAAGTACGTGGGAATCAAATGCAAATACAACAAAAGAAGAAATATTTTGCTTCATAAGAGCTCCGGCAATCTTCACCAGTGCGCAATGTAATCTGAACGTGATTCTAATGTACTGACATAGGTATGACATGTGTACTCAAACGGTAACAGTCCCTCCCTACAAGATCTGGTAGGCTGAATAATACCACTCCCCTCGACATACGCTCAAAGAAGTCCGAACCCTAATCTCTGGAACCTGATAATATGTTATGTTACAGGTGAAAGAGAATTCAGTTTGCTAATCAGCTGACCTTAAAACAGGGAGATTATTTTGAATTATCAAGGTCAGTGCAATGCAATCACAAGGGTCTTTAACAGTAGAAGAGGGAGGTAAAGAGTTAGTCTTTTTTTTACTATTTAAACGTAGAGGAATGGGGTAAGGACCACGGTCATTAGAAGCTGGGGGCGCCTGGGTGGCGCAGTCGGTTAAGCGTCCGACTTCAGCCAGGTCGCGATCTCGCGGTCCGTGAGTTCGAGCCCCGCGTCGGGCTCTGGGCTGATGGCTCAGAGCCTAGAGCCTGTTTCCGATTCTGTGTCTCCCTCTCTCTCTGCCCCTCCCCTGTTCATGCTCTGTCTCTCTCTGTCCCAAAAATGAATAAACGTTGAAAAAAAAAATTAAAAAAAAAAAAAAAAAAAAAGAAGCTGAAAAAGGCCCAGACCCTACAGAAAGGAACGGAGACCAGCCGACGTTTTGGTTTTAGTCTGGTGAGACCGTGTCAGAATTCTGTCCTACAGAACTGTATCATAATACATTTATGTTATTTAAGCTGCTAAGTCCGTGGTAGATTGTTACAATGGCAAATAGAAAACTAATACACATACTAACTAGACAAAAACTTACTCAAGATGATAAGTATTCTTTCATAAGAAAAAAGAAACTGGGCAAAACCAATAATTTTCAAGAAGTTTAAGTGGATGGGCACATAAACATGTTTCCTCTTTAAAAACATTAATAAAAATGTGATTTTCAGAAGAAAAAAGCTCTGTTCTTCTGCCCTGATGTCACATGATAATTATATGATGCTCTGAATCAAGAATTGTACCAAGGTCTCCCAACCAAAATTAAATTATGCAAGCCTTTCCTGTAAATAGCATGAATCCTTACCCCCAAGGGCTCACTATAAGACTGATTCTTTTTTTCTTGTTGCCAAACTTGAAAAGTTTGCTTATAAATCTTGAGTAGTGAAGAAAAACACTATTTATTAAGCAATAATTTTTCCTATTGCTTTGATTTGCATTTATTACTTTAAAAACTACTTTAGCATTTGCCTTTCCCAAAAGAAACTTCTTTATTTTGTTCTTAGTACACATTTTAAAAGAATTCAGAATAAAACTTGCCTTGGTTGAGTTGGGGGCTGGGGGGAGGGCCGTCCAGAAAACAAAGAGATAATTTGGTATATTTAATTGTGTCAGCAAGATTAGCTGACCTGGACGTGATTTTTTTATGATTATTTGTTTATTTGCTTTTATTAACTTTTTTTGGTGGGGGGGGAGGGGCAGAGAGAGAGGGAGACAGAAACTGAAGCAGGCTCCAGGCTCCGAGCTGTCAGCCCACAGCCTGACCTGGGCTTGAACTCACGAAACACAAGATCACGACCCAAGCCAAAGTTGAATGTTCAACCGACTGAGCCACCCAGGTGCCCCTACATGGATGTGATTTTTATGAGTCTATTTTGATTAAATAACTACAGCAGAAGAGGGTGAAGAACGCATTGCCATGAGAAAAAGTCCCTACCCTCCTTTACATTACATTTTTTTTTTTTACAAAACAAGATATTTTTTTTCCCTCTCCTTTTCGTTAATACTCTTCACCAAAAACTGACTCTTCCTCAGAAACACATTCCTTATTCTAGAGATGGTGACATTTACAATTAATGACTGCTGTCTTTTTTTTTTTTTTCTTAATGTTTATTTATTTTTGAGAGAGAGACAGAGGGTGAGCAGGGCAGGGGCTGAGAGAATGGGAGACACAGAATGGGAAGCAGGCTCCAGGCTCTGAGCTGTCAGCACAGAGCCCGACGCGGGGCTCAAACCCACAAGCTGTGAAATCATGACCTGAGCTGAAGTCAGATGCGTAACCGACCGAGCCACCCGGGCGCCCCATAATGGCTGCTTTAATGTCTTTAAAGTAAACACATAGCACGTGTGAACCTCCGGCTCATGAAATTATAAACCTCAACTTCTATACTTTCTGTGTAATGACAAATCTCCAACATGCCTGTTTAAATACTACTCATATTCGTGCCTACAAAAATTATAGTTTGAAAAATAGAATCGGAGAGGGGCGCCTGAGCGGTTCGGCTGGTTGAGTGTCAGACTCTTGATTTCGGCTCAGGTCATCATCCCAGGGTTGTGGGATCGAGCCCCGAGTCAGGCACTGCACTGAGTGTGGAGCCTACTTGGGCTTCTCTCTTTCACTCTCTCTTTCTGCCCCTCCCCTGCTCACGCACGCGCGCGCTCTCTCTCTCTCAAATACATAAAATGAAAAAAAAAATTGAAAGGAAAAAAGTAGAACCAAGGAGACGGACAAAGTCAAATTCTATTTTGTCTTTTCTTGCAAAGAATCCTTCCTGAGGCACAGGAATAACTGGCAGGAGTGGGCAGAGCCCCTAGCGTTGCAAGTGTGGTGGTTGTCGGACTGGGCACCCCCTTGGTGCTTGTTAGAAACGCAGACTACCAGGCCCCACCCAGACATCCTGCACCAGAATCGGCATCTTCACAAGATCCCCAGAGGAGCCTGGCACACAAGGAAGTCTGAGAAGCCCTGAGCTATCACCGACAGTGCAAAGAGGACACAGTTCCTGTGTCTCCTCGCCTTGGAGTCCCTCCCTCAGCCTTGAGCAGGTTTCCAGTTAGCTTCTCTCTCCCCTTTCCTCACACTTTGCCCTTGGGAAGGAATCCCGTACTGTGTACCTTCCATCCTTTGGTTAATTTAACAAACTCGTCCCCATGGCCGGGAATACGTGTGTTTGAGAAGACCTCTCAAGTCACTTCCTTGGAGACGATCAGCCTCCTCCGTGTGAGGAGAAGCCATGTTGAGCAGAAGACCAGTCTGCACTGTGCCTTGACCTCACAGCATTTGGCCCACCGGGGATTTTCAGTCAATGTTAAAGGGGTCAATGAGTGCCCATGGTCAAGGGTTGCCCCTCAACTTGGTCTTCAGAGATGGCGGTAGGACCGCTTAGCTTGGGTGTCGACAGGACAGGCCTGCTTGCCACCTTGGTTTTCCAACAGGCCACTGTACTTTAAGGTGTAATCATGTTCTACCTCTTGATATCAAAAAGTACTTATTCAATTCTCTCAGCCAAGGCCAACCAGCTTCAGTTTGCCTTCCAGCAATTGTTTAAGTGGCCACCAATCACTTATTCTCCACATCCGTCCTACTGGTGCAACTAGCTTCGGGAAGTGATAAGACCCTCAACAAGACTTCTGGTCACAGCTCGAATATCAGCTCAATGTGAATACTTTGCAGGCATCGCTTGATTATTATTTTGAGGAGATAATGGCAAGCAAGAGATTGAATGGTCTAAATGTGCCATGTGACCACTATTCAGTAAGTGAAGGTGCCTTGGGTTAAAACATACATGGAGACCCCAAAGCTACTGATCCCATCACTTGGGCCAATATCCAGATGCTCCTTCTCTTCTAAAAGTGTCCACTAAGCATAACTATTTCCTGTTTTTCTCCCAGAGATTGACCCAAGGCAGAATCATCTACCAACCCCCTCCCCATGGAATACACTGGCCTTCCCGCTGGGATTGGGGAACTTAATTATTATCCCA